TCTGGAAATCATAGATCGACGAGTATTACTATACCAATATTGCCCTGGTGACATTCGGCACGATTGTGGGATCAAATCATAGTTGGTTATATTTTACCTGGGGACCTCAGGCTATCAGTATCATGTTCATAAAATTAAACATAAAGAATAGAGATTAGGCGGAATGACAGGCTGAGCGCGGCCCAGTAAGTTATATATTATATATTATAATCAAATAATATCACAACTACCAGTACCTACCATAGGAGCATAGGGTGAGGAGCAATGTAACAAACTGAATTGCTTGCAGAGTAACAAACTATACTTATAGAAATGTAACTGCTTTGTGTCACCACATGAATAACAGACTCCACAGCCACAGGCTATACATAACAATATAGTTTACACAGTATAAACTATAGCACATTGTTACAAGCATGCAGGACGTAGGTAATAGGTTACAGAAAATAACAGATCTTCCTCATATGGGATAAAGAGTGTATTTTAGTATTTAATGTTGATTGAAGGGACAAAATTCGATGACAAGTGCACTCGTAGTTGCAATCTTTTTAAACTTTCTACTTTGACACAGTGCAATACCAGCGAATACTTGAAATGGAATAAAAGTCCGTTTGGATCAGTTTCTGTCTAGATTACACTATTTTCAGACTGCAGGTATGATGTAAGTGTAACTTCAAACTTTACTAACAATGTGTCCCCGACTCAGTGGCCTGTTGGCACAGCGGGCCCTTCGTTACGCCACTGCGGCCGACGTCGAACGGTGATAAAAATAAAAGTATGTTATAAAATAACAACTGTTCTGCACGCTACGCTAGGAGGCTTTTTTTGAAAGATTCTGAGACTCATCGTGGAGAACGTAGAGCGCCGCCAGAGCGCACGAGGGACCACTTTAAACGTACCACTACCAGTACCTGTTACTGTTAGTGTTACTGTTAGTTGGACTAAATCCATGTAACGCGATTCACGATAACCTAGTAGTAGTAGTAGTGCTATACTGATATAACAAGAAAAACATACAATTTGCAATTCGATTAACGGGTGATACTCGTAAAATATTTGTTTCAAATAAATAAATAAAATAGGACCGTCGATCGAAGAGTCCAACTCGGCGCGCGCGTCCTGGTAGGTTATACTTATAAACCTACTATGTACTAGTACAACAATTCGATAATAGTGATACAAATTAAACGCTTAAACATTAAAACGCAGGAATTTCATTTAATGTGCATCCAAAATTCAGGAGTAATATTTAACAACTTAAGGATTCGGGGAAGGGGTAATCCTATTCTGAGAAGCTTGATAATTTTCTTCCGTAATGCCTCTTCTGTCTCGGAGAGCACATGGCGGGATCGCTTGGAGGGTTTATAATTATTAGAGGCTGCGCCGAGGTTCTTCCATCGCTGCAGAGGGAATAACCGTGCTTCCCGATGTGGATGATGGTTCTGAAGTTGAATTTGAAAGTCCCTGCTCCCATATGGGGTCATCTGATTTAGGTTCTGCGCTGGCGGTCTGGACGGGTCCTGTGAATGAACTGGATTCAGTAGTTGTGGTAGGATTGCAGGGTTGATATCCCAGTCTGTGGGCCTTGCAGAGCTCGACGAATACGGTGTATGATTCACTGTTGACGTTTCCTGCAGCGTGAATGACCCAGCGACCCGCTTGATATATATAAACATGGAGTCGCTCAATAAGTTATATTTATGTTCCGATGTCTTGCAAGACTCTGACATGTCGAAAGGAGTCCTGGCCGAGAAGAGGGCCAACTCCAAGGAAATACGGAAACTGAAAGGGGGCCAACATAATATTATGTACACATTTTATATTATGTACGTGACCACGTACGACAACCACGTACGCCCACGTGCAAATCGGATGAGAAATGGGAAGTTGCAATTTCAAATTTGCATAGTAACGAGAATGGAAACGCGCACGGGCAAGCGCAAACATTATTATGGCATATTTATCGTATTTTGTGATTACTCACTGAAAGCCTGAACAAAGGAGAATTCAGGGATTGTCTACTTCTACGATATAACAAATACATTACCTCTGTCAGTGTCATGTGTTTTTGGGGCCAAAATGGACATCAACCATGCTCTAACTCTAAGACTAAACTGTCCAAGAGGCTAGGCTACATCATCATCCACCACAACTCAGATAGGGATTTCATCGCCAAACAAATATCAACTGTTTGTAAAGACGTGGAATGTAAACCCCACTTGCAGACTCTAGACGGGAAGACTTTCTCAACAAATGCCACACTATCACTCTATCAGGAGACAATGTGCACCCTGACATCCGTGCCAGGGGATTTTATCGGCCGGGACAGAACTTCTCATGAATCCTAATTCTGAGTCCTATCTCTCATCATCAACGGAAAAAATGTATGAAGGAAAATATATATATTATATATGAGACTCAAAAGCGGAGGTTATAAATATATGTATAACAAAGTAACGAGATAATTCAGAATTCTAAATGTCGAATATGGGAGTTTTTGTCCACGTACTGGTGTACTCTGTCACGGGTGGTACAGGCGGGCCAAAAGCAAAGACAAAAGACTTTCTTCAGATTGTTGTGTGAGAAGATATCGTATAAGACCCAACAGAACTATTCAAATGTTGTCAATTTTTTAAGATGTAAATTATCTTTTATAGTTTTATCAAGAAGCTGGTTCTCCTGTAAATAAGAAGAACCAGATCTTCTGTCAATACAGTTGACAAAAATTGTGAGAGCGACTTTGAGTTTGCATGCTTTGTATCAAAGCTTAATTAATTAGAAGTCCCATGGACTCAATGAATTGATCATGATGCTAAAAATCTTATTGATATAATTATATCGATAAGATTTTTAGCATCAATTCATTGAGTCCATGGGACTCCTATTCCTAATTAACTAAGCTTTGGTACAAAAAGCGAAAGCGAGCGTGCTAAATCACTACTATATTAATATACTAAAACTTCGAGACGTGCCCTCGCCCCAGTTTATATCGCCCACGTTTCTGCCTGCGCAAAGTTATTTTGCGCGATAATCTGAATTAAACAATTGTTGGCGTGCGGTGCTGAATTGATTGACGATGTCAACCCTTCCAGATCGTTGCTCTGCGAAGCAAGAATGCTAGTTTGCGCGGCGCGTCGAAGCGGCGAAGTCCTCCAAGGTGCTGAACTGTTCAAGTACAACTACATTGTTAATTTTACCATGCACGCATCTCGCTAGGGACTAATTGATATAGATAGCATATTATTATTATTTTGAGTTAGTATTACTCTTTTGCACAGATCCGTGTCAGGTTGCATAAACATTTACCTGGGGACCTCAGGCTATCATGTTCATTAACATAATTAATCCGCTGAATAGAGATTCGGCGGAATTTAATGACAGGTTGAGCGCGGCCCAGTAAAATAAACATTAAACATATGGTTACATAGAAATATACACTATTTTCAAATTCAATATGGAATTATATTAACTGGGCGGCGCTCGGCCTGTCACTCCGCCATATCTGCATGCATATAAATTATAAACAGTATTGTAGGTTTACAACCTACCAGGAGTCAGGACGCGCGCCGAGTTGGACTCGTCGATATATGGAACAGATAATTTACGAGTATCACCCGTTAAAAACAGTAAAGACTTTGTATCACGTTGCAACGTCCCCGCGGTCGTTTCACTATCAACTATGGTCCTGACGATACAGGGGGAGCGGATCATACAACGTATGACAATAAAGACTGGGGTGGTATGGAATATGATTATATACGCCATCACGGCCCGGATCGGGAAATTGAGCGGCCATCCACAAAAGAAAAGCGGCCGCATTTCTTGTTCTAAAAGTAAAAGGGCCCCGACAGTTAAAATCAACTTAAATCGATCGATGTATTTTGAACACTGATTCCGAATCCTCCCCACATGACATTAAATATAATATAAGGATTAAAATGCTGGCGAGACATCGGCGAAAAGCTGTCCTTATCACGTTTTGTGCATTGTGACAATATAAGGAGATTGGTTTAATTTTGATTTCTCGTTGGAGTAAGGGTTTAAGCATATGCTTCAGTTAGGGCTTATACGTGCGGTTAGTTGGGGTCAGTGTAACACTAACTGTAGAGCCTCTACAGTTGCACTGACCCCAACCCAATCCCTAACTACAGTGTAGACTGTAGAGGGTTAGGGTTTCGAACAGTCCTTCAGGGCTACCCATAGAACATTTATAAAAAGTCACGTGACAGTCGAGTGTAGAGTGATTAATCATCATCCTAAAAAAGTGGAGGGGCCATTTGATATGCCCCCCCCCCCCCCTGCTTCCTCCACCCCTGGTGAGTGCTGTGATTCGCAGGGTCTTATAGAAATAAAATTCGACGACTTGAGCCTTTAAAACAATCATTTCTGTATAAAATGTTAAATGCTATCATTAACATAAGATAGCGTTAGTGTAACAGTCAAACATACTGTTATAATATTAATGATCGTGGTGTTTATTATTTGTAATTGTAAAACTTTGATCAAATTTCAAAATTTATTCATGGTCTCATGCAGTGCTTTCAATTATCTGGATAACAAATACTCCAATTCCACAACGTTTTGAGAAACATAAATCAAAATGTCCCTAAAATTATAATTACGATCAACTGAACTTTGATTGGATCTGCTTTAATATCTTTTGAAAGAATTATAGGGGCATCCCCTGTCACAAAGCTGCAATACCCATCAGCAATCAAAATCGAGCGTACAATCTATCAAACCAAAGTTTACTCGACATAATGATAACAGACGAAACTTATCATAACAGTTGAGGATGAAAGAAATTCAGTGTCGTTGTTTGATGATAGCTCAGTCCGTAATCGAGACAGGAACTGAGTGGGATCGGAAGAACAAGATGGCGCTGAGACACCGGGATTGAAAATGGATCTGTGGGTATATGAATAATGTATTTGGTATCGAGGAGGTAAGATTCCAGAACATTATCTGTACAGTCCTTTCGTCAAATATTTTACACAATATCTCTGTTGCATGTCATGTCCCCAAACAAAATCATTATTCTGTACAATAAAAATACAACACGCTGGGCCAGTACGTCCCATTTGAATCGTTGCCTCGGCAAATCGGAACTGAACACAATGTGATGAGCACTCGCCGCGTGACTTCATATCACGTGATTTTATAATCAGGTGACGTCATATCACGCGACTTTATAATCACGTGACGTCATATCCACTCCTCCCTGGTGTGCATAATATTCTGAAAGCTGTGCTCCAAAGGTTCGCGGATATCTAGACTGCAGTCTGAGAACGAACTGACCGGACTACCCGCCTGGTTGTGGCTATTCAACCTGTTATCGTTGTCATTCCCGATCTCAGGGTTAAACAAATCTGGGGGTTCCACCCCCGTAACTCCCCCCGGTTTGTCTGGTCGGTTGAGGGGGGTGGTTGGGGTACTCCTGCAGCTCCTCGGAGGGGGAGACGTGCAGGTGGCATGGTTTGGTGGTGAGGATCTGCTCATCTGTAGTCCTCTCCGCTTGACGATTGAATCGTCGCTGCACTTCCGGGTGACGATGGAGAAAGGTCTAGAAGAACAGCCCGACAGGATCTCCGAGTCCAAGTCCAGCTCGTATGTTTCCAGCAGAGCCTCGTTGTAGGCTGTGATCAACATGTAGTGCTCGCGGGAATTCGTGTGCTCCCCTGTTGAGATATATCGTTTAAAATTAGTATTTTCAGACGCATCATACCATGTCAATTAAAACAAATTTTTGCCTTTGATTTACATATTCAGCGATTAAACGGGAAAAAACGGAAGCAGGTAGGAAATGATCGTATTTCATTCCATGCTGAAATGATCATAATTTGTTTGGTGATTAATAATGTCAGGATCCAGCGTGTCAACGGTGTTCAACCAGTTCTGGAAGATATGGAAGAGCATAACCATAAAAAACCCACCAAGATCCGCATCTACAAAGCTGCTGTTATCACTATCCAGTTATACGGAGCTGAAGTCTGGAACACTACTAGGAAGCAGATCAAGCGATCTGACGTCCCTCAGAAGAATGCTAAAGTGGTTATACCATGTCTCCAATCATGAAGTCATCAGCTGGTGTTAAGTCTCCAATGATGAAGTTCTCAGCTGGTGTTAAGTCGACAGAAACTTAAATCGGTTCTGCTAGACTACGGTGGTACAGATACGTTAGAACACCAGATAATAGATTACCAAATGTTTACCTAACCTTACTAATTACTATGGAAAAAGGTCACGAAGGAGACACCGAAAAGACTGGATGGCCCTATGTACTCGAGAATGCTGCAAACTTTACAGGTGATGACTAGGAAACGACCGAAATTTCTGCTCGGTTCGGGTTCGATCGTTTGCTATAAGTGTTGACAACATCAGCAGAGATGCAGCAAGATAGTTAGCATTGAACTGAGTGGAATGGAGAAGCTTGTTACGTCACACAGGAGATGTGTGTGATGCAGGCCACTCTAACTAGAAGGATACCTTTTTATGTAGCATGTATGTATGTATGTGTAATGTGTATGTGGATAATTTAGGGACTTTTAAAATCAACAAACCCTATATCCAAAATTATAAACCGTTCATAGTCCAGGTAAGCCATATAAACAAGTCGTTGACTCTGGTTACATAATATTATCACTTGTTTATATGTGGCTTACCAACGGTTTATAATTTTCAAAATAGAGTTTCTGTTCTATTTCAAAATACTCAATTTTCTAACAAAAGACGCTGTACCGAATACAAGATCAGAAACCATAACATAAAAATGAAAATAAATAAACCAAAAGAGTAGCACTAACCGGCGTCTAGACCGTTATTCCACTCGGCAGCTTTCTGTTCGAGATCTTTTTTGTTGCTCCTCAAACTTTTACTGTTCAACTTGTTGGCGTAATTACCCAATTTCTTTTCTATGTGTTGCTGCGACTTTTTACAGGACGTATAGTTGTCATACCTGGATTTAAATGCGTTATTATTGGCAATCTGTAGGTGGCCTGGAGAGGGTACAACAAGTATTCATAACATTACATGGAAACATGGTGTTTTGACTTTGTAAGAGGGGGTGGGGACTGGGAAGGGAGGGACATACAACTCACTTGACACAATTGTGATTTTCCTCCAGGTTGTGTTTGATAGAGATACTCTCCCAAATGAGAGGGGTGGGGACTGGGAAGGGAGGGACATACAACTCACTTGACACAATTGTGATTTTCCTCCAGGTTGTGTTTGATAGAGATACTCTCCCAAATGAGAGGGGGTGGGGACTGGGGAGGGAGGGACATACAACTCACTTGACACAATTGTGATTTTCCTCCAGGTTGTGTTTGATAGAGATACTCTCCCAAATGAGAGGGGGTGGGGACTGGGGAGGGAGGGACATACAACTCACTTGACACAATTGTGATTTTCCTCCAGGTTGTGTTTGATAGAGATACTCTCCCAAATGAGAGGGGGTGGGGACTGGGGAGGGAGGGACATACAACTCACTTGACACAATTGTGATTTTCCTCCAGGTTGTGTTTGATAGAGATACTCTCCCAAATGAGAGGGGGTGGGGACTGGGGAGGGAGGGACATACAACTCACTTGACACAATTGTGATTTTCCTCCAGGTTGTGTTTGATAGAGATACTCTCCCAAATGAGCCTATTCTCCTCCAGCTGATCTACCACGACCTGGGCTGGGGGCAGCAGTTTTATCAATAAGGTATAGAGAGGGGCTAAGATGAAGTCGTTAAATTTGATCTGCAGGGAGGGGATGCAGGCTTTCTTTCGGTCGTTTTGTTGAAGAGGCGTTCTGCCTAGTTCCTTTTCCATGTCACCTAGGAAAATGGATTTTCAGCTACCGGTTTTAGTGCAGAGCTTCTAAAGTGCATTGTTTAAACTCTAAATAAAAGCACATTTTATAATCGGGATATAAATTGTGGTTCGTAATGAAATTTTGCTGTTACTGTTCAATATTCCAACCTTCAGAAAAGAACTCCGAGTATATATGATCCCTGACAATAACAGAGCTCTCCTCGAACATCTTAACATTGATGGACAGATCACAACTCGTAATCACCAGAGATAAGAGAGGAAGTGGTGATTAGAGTTGTTGAAATCGTACCCTGACGTTGCCATTTCTTTTTGTTGTGAAATAATCCTGGGGTGGAATGGTTTAAAGTACTTATGTTTATTAATAATGGCACGTTCATAATTATATCAACAAGGTAATATTTTAGCTGAAGTTAATGACTAATGACTTAATGATTAATTAGCCGCTAATATTATCTTACCTTAGGTGTTGAGCAAGATCGGTAGCCAATATTATCTTTTGGATATTATCAAGACACGCTCTGTAGTCATCTGTTTCAAGGCTGAAAATAAAAGAGAATTCAGAATAAGCAACATAATTGGTTACCATGTAACCATTAATTCACGAACAAATAAAAACTGTTCTTTATCGGTGACAGTACAACTTTGGCGAATTTTTGTAGTCAGCGCTGTTTTAATAATTTCTGCGTACTCAACATGCAAAATAGCGATTAAACAGCACTCCTAACACAACCTACCCCTCAATAATGTTGCACCCAGATGTGTTGAGTATACAGAAAGTTTGTGCGAAGTGGTGCCTCTCCATCACACTCCCTTCTGAGCTGTACAAACACGCCAGGACTGACCTGAACGGAAGTGTCATTTATATTTAGGGGTAATTCGGATGTAAAGGCTGAAATACTTTCTGAATTGACAATGCATGGTTGAAATGGATGCATTTGAAAAGATTATATTTGACACAAGAGGAACTGTTCAACAAGCAGGATTTTCCGAAAAGCATTTTCTTAAAGTCTTATTCCAATCATGATAGTCCACAAAAATTTGCGCAATTAAGCAACGAAAACGTTTAAAAGCAGCCCCATAATGCTGTAAAAAGCTTTTTTTTAATTTCCAAAAAAAATCGAAACCAGCGCCCCAAATCAAGCGAACCTGCTAGCAACTTGAAAAGCGTTGGTGGTACCCCTGTGATCGAGATCATGACAGAAACAAGCGATGAGCATCGCCAAAACTTCGATATCCGTCATGTACTTGGAGATATCCACTGCTTTGCATAGGGAGTAGAAGAAGTGACCGACACAGAAGGCGTGCATCCAGTTGTGATAGGGAGGGTCCCGGTATCTGAAAGATATATTTAAGCGGTGGGAAAATGTTCATGGCTCATATCATAGTCATGCAGCGTTTGATTTTAAACCGCGGAAAAACATATTTTAAAAACTAACAAACAGGCTAGGAAAGAATTAATCCGATGATGAAAGGAAATGACTAGAAGAGATGATTAGTTAAGAAGGGAAGAGAGCAAACTAAGAGATGATTAGTTAAGAAGGGAAGAGAGCAAACTAAGAGATGATTAGTTAAGAAGGGAAGAGAGCAAACTAAGAAATGATTAGTTAAGAAGGGAAGAGAGCAAACTAAGAGATGATTAGTTAAGAAGGGAAGAGAGCAAACTAAGAGATGATTAGTTAAGAAGGGAAGAGAGCAAACTAAGAGATGATTAGTTAAGAAGGGAAGAGAGCAAACTAAGAGATGATTAGTTAAGAAGGGAAGAGAGCAAACTAAGAGATGATTAGTTAAGAAGGGAAGAGAGCAAACTAAGAGATGATTAGTTAAGAAGGGAAGAGAGCAAACTAACAAATTAGATAGTAACCATGGTAACTAACCCGCGTTTGACCATGAGAAGGAACCTAGTTAGAGTCTGATGATTGAACTGCCATCTGTTGACCAGTCCTAAATCCTCAAACATGTGGTACGCCAGGGATATCGACCTGCTTTCTTCTTCCACTGAAATGGTTTTGTTATTTTTACGTAAATCTTGTTGTTGATGAAATTGTGATTGTTGGAAATAAAGGAAACTGGAAATAGGTATGGAATGAAGTTTATACTTGTATAGCATTCATTGGTCCTAAAATGGAAACCAAACTACTTACCAATATAAGTAGGGAACAGAAGAGAAGAGAAGCTGGGAGGGAGAGTACAGGTGATTTGTACCTCTTGCAGGGCTCCATCTAGTTCCGTTTGGGGCACCTGCACAAATTCGTTTTTATAGGAATGGGGCCCGATAAATCGAGCACCCGGTAAGGGGAAGCCCAGTTAATTAAGCTGATTGGTTAAGGAATGGTAGAAATTCTAGAAATGGTAAGATTTCTAGGAAGGGTACCTGCATGTGGTAGATCATGAGATCACTAGCAAGCTTGCTCCGATACTGTGCGTCCTGAACTTTCTTAAAGAGCAGTGAGTTGCTTATACTGATCCCGCAATATACGCTGTAAAGTTCAAATTTAATGATCACCACAGGTTGAAATGAGTGAAAATCAGTAGTTCTACATTTAATTTTTGGATTCACATACTTATGAAAAAATATAAATTGAATTCAATAAACCTTCTTCATTATAATGATCAAATATGGCCAACTTTCAATTTGGAAATCAACCAGACAAACCAGCCAATCAGCTAATAAAGTTACTTTTCATCATTTTCATGAGCTATAATTGTGAAACCTATTGATCCATAATTAATTGTACCTGAAGCTAAGTGCAGCCTCCTCATCGTGCCGTGAAAAGTACTTCCCGCCAGTTTTGTTGCATAATTGTGCCACACCAATCACTCCTGTAATAATACCACGTGAAGTAAAAAGTAGGAGAGCGGGGTGGGAATAATACCACGTGAAGTAAAAAGTAGGAGAGCGGGGTGGGAATAATACCACGTGAAGTAAAAAGTAGGAGAGCGTGGTGGGAATAATACCACGTGAAGTAAAAAGTAGGAGAGCGGGGTGGGAATAATACCACGTGAAGTAAAAAGTAGGAGAGCGGGGTGGGAATAATACCACGTGAAGTAAAAAGTAGGAGAGCGGGGTGGGAATAATACCACGTGAAGTAAAAAGTAGGAGAGCGGGGTGGGAATAATACCACGTGAAGTAAAAAGTAGGAGAGCGGGGTGGGAATAATACCCCGTGAAGTAAAAAGTAGGAGAGCGGGGTGGGAATAATACCACGTGAAGTAAAAAGTAGGAGAGCGGGGTGGGAATAATACCACGTGAAGTAAAAAGTAGGAGAGCGGGGTGGGAATAATACCCCGTGAAGTAAAAAGTAGGAGAGCGGGTGGGAATAATACCACGTGAAGTAAAAAGTAGGAGAGCGGGGTGGGAATAATACCACGTGAAGTAAAAAGTAGGAGAGCGGGGTGGGAATAATACCCCGTGAAGTAAAAAGTAGGAGAGCGGGGTGGGAATAATACCACGTGAAGTAAAAAGTAGGAGAGCGGGTGGGAATAATACCACGTGAAGTAAAAAGTAGGAGAGCGGGGTGGGAATAATACCCCGTGAAGTAAAAAGTAGGAGAGCGGGGTGGGAATAATACCCCGTGAAGTAAAAAGTAGGAGAGCGGAGTGGGAATGACCGCAAAAAAACTGAGGGTACCCTGTGTATTAAAACACAGAAGCATGTATATTTATAGGCAACATAATATCAGGCCCTTAAGGTCGAAGCACGTTCAATACATAACACATCACTCTCCCAAGATACCTGTATCATCCTTGATGGGAAAGCACAGGATGTTCCTAGTAACGAAGCCTGTATCTTCATCTACCCCCCGGTAAAAGAGTGGGTGTGAGTATGCGTCCTTTATGTTCAGCAACTTTCCTGTCATGGCCACGTGTCCTGAAATAGTATGTTGTTACAGAGCCTACTCCAGTACATAAACAAGTCGTCAAAGTTCGTCGTGCTCAACCTTCATCTGAGTGTCAACACTCAACTGTGTGCTTCATCTGAACTCTGAACAACCCTGAGATTTCAATAAATACTTCAGTTCCCACAACAGCTCACCTGCTACTCCCTTGTTGATAGGTATTCTTATCTCAGGGCCACTCTTTATCTCCTTACCACTCACCAGAGTCCCATCAAACACTTTGGCAACAAGCTCGTTCGTCATCTTATCTACTAGAAACACCGAGCATCGTTCAGCTTGGGTTAACATTCTCGCTTCCTGGTGGGAAAGAGGGTTATATTAACCTACTTGATTCCGCACAGACTAATATATATGCGATTTATACCTATATGCTACAAATTGACTCGATCTTGCTAAATAGCACGTGTACATACCTGCATTATCTCGCGCAGCAACACGTGCACGTTGTCAAATCTGGTGAACAGATTTTGAGCGACCTTCAGTAACGCCTGTGTTCGTTCTCGTGAGGACAGCTGCTGCTCGAATGTGAGTGCGTTTGTCAGAATGGGCGAGCAAAAGTTCATTGTAAAGGTCAGGGCGTCTTCGTCACCTTTCGTGAAACTGCAAAAATACCTTGATTATTTCTTTTATTTTTTCAGGTATTGCTTAAATTAAATAATAATAATAAATTAAATAATATTATAAATTCAATAATGAAATAAATTAAATAATAATTGGGTCTCACACGATACTTCAACATAATAATTACAGTTCACTTTAAGGTTTCAAAATGGATATGATTTTTTCAAGCGACCACAATTTGACTTATTTCGTGAAGATCTGACATCAATCTTATCAAATGCGTAATATTTTGTCTGAGAAATATTTAAAAAAGTTTTATATTTTTAAAAGTAGACCGTTGAAACAACTGACGTGTTGAATTTAAGTCCTCGTTTGTTAAATGCGCATATGATGGACCTCGTCTTGAACTTAGATTCAGAGAAAAGAGGGAGGGCTACAAGCGTCTGAATGTCACGCCCTGGCGAGTAGAATTCTTAATGTGAATTACAAGAAATAGTTTCGTGAACTATGGTGTATTAAATTGGGATAAAACTTTAAACATTAAAAAATCGCAAGAATAAAGTTTTGATACCTGTTAAAGTATCTGATTCAGGGTTAAACCGCGGGTCCTTTGAAACATTCACCATGTTAGCAGGTTTATTGGCATCAAGCAAATATCTAAATAAACTCGAGCCTAGCTGAAATATCACTGTTATTCTAGGAAGGTAATAGCCATAATAAAATCCGACATTCTGACATAGATAAGAAACGTCGAGTTGGACCACATTACGACGGATATATAGGCCCTATATCGACAATACCCCCCGGTATTGTATCTTTTTATTTACTTATAAGTTAAAACTAACACTGGGTTGCTCACATCAATAGTAATATTGTCCAACTGGAACCCTCCGTCATACAAGTGTACAGTCAGTTCCTGTTCGTGACAATCTGGGACCATTAGAGCCGTAAACATCGCATCTGTAGTCTGGGATACAATCAATTGTTATACAAATCGTCAATTGATAAACGGTTTGACCCAAATTAAGGTAAAACAGTTCATTGGCTCGGGAAAAAAACCCGTTTAGTGTGAAACTTTAATAGTTATCATCTGGGTGATTAAACAAAACCCAAAGTTGCTCAAATCTTGCTGTACCAAAACTGAAAATTATAAGATGCCTTAAAAAAGATGCCTAAAAATCACCATATTCACCTCTCTGACTTGTTTTAGAATTGTCTCAATTAAATTAGCAGAGTTCATCTGGTACAGCCCCACACAGAAATTCAGCATCTTCTCGGCCCGGCAGTGGGCGTGTTTAGTAGTTTGGTGTTCCACCACTCTTACTGCTGCACTTTGCACCTAATGTGAGGAGTTTTAATTGATTGAGTAATGAGAGAAAATGGGTGCTGCCTTTGAAATTAGATCAATTGCTTATCAATCTTCGTGGACTTGATAAACTTTGATCTGCTGGTTTGGTTTTTTTAATTGATTATAATTCATAATACGGATCATGATCGCCCTTTCTTGATCAAATTATCAAACAATGACCTGATGGTGGGTGTTACAAAAATTTAGAACTAAATTTTTGCCAATATAGAAAGTGGAAAGTTTACTGGACAATTAAGCTGAGATATCAGTATCACAGTATTACGGACCTTTACTGATAGTTAAAATTCGACATATGACGTCATCTAGCGTCATCTAGCGTCATCTAGCGTGAAATATCGCCAGATGATGATAGATGACGCTAGATGACGCTAGATGACGCCAATTAGCGACATTGTCGCTAAGTGCACGGCACCTTTCGAATGTCGCTATCTAGCGCTATCTAGCGCTATCTAGCGCTATCTAGCGCTATATGACGCTATATGACGCTATATGACGCTAGATGACGCTAGATGACGCTAGATGACGCTAAGCACGCAGCACTGACGCCAGGCGACAGATAGCGCTATTTTCATAAAAATTCTAGGGACGACATCTAGCGTCATCTAGCGTCATATGTTGCCGCGACATCTGACGCCATCTAGCGATATCTGACGTCATCTGACGACATCTGTCGCGACGACATCTGACGCAGGCGACATCAAGCGCTGGATAGCGGGATAAGTCAGTTTACGACAGTTCACGCTATCTAGCGCTATATAGCGCCAGATAGCGCTATATAGCGTCAGATGTCGTTGCGACATATAGCGCTAGACAGTGACAGTCCAGGGTATTTAGCGCTAGATGTCGCTATCTAGCGCTATATGTCGCTGCGTCAGATGTCGTCGCTACATATAGCACAAGATATCATATCCTATCACAGTAACAGTAATCCTAACTCTGTGTGTGTGTGTGTGTGTGTGTTTGTGTGTGTGTGTGTGTGTGTGTGTGTGTGTGTGTGTGTGTGTGTGTGTGTGTGTGTGTGTGTGTGTGTGTGTGTGTGTGTGTGTGTGTGTGTGTGTGTGTGTGTGTGTGTGTGTGTGTGTGTGTGTGTGTGTGTGTCGGGATCGGAAGAAAGCGGCACGTACTATTTCGACGAAATTTATACAAGTTACTAACATCGTTGATTCATGATGCCAATCTTTCACAGCTCAGTGGTGCATTTCGCCGAAAACTAAAAGCATTATTGGATACCGAGAAGCATTTTTGGATGCGCGGCGCGACATGGTGCATATCGCCAATTTAGTAACATAGTTGGTCAGTTCGTACAAAAGTCGTAAAAAATTCGTACAGTTCGGCACGTTTTTTCAGTTCGGGATTAGTTTGGGAAAAATTCGCCTCATAAATTTTCGAAATATATGATAAAAAGCTAATTGCAAAAATTTGTGTTAAAATGGCGGGAAACGATGACGTGCGGATTAGATGGCCGGATGCATGTTAATATTTTAAATCTGAAATGTAACCTCCCGGACAAAAATAACAAATTTTTCGGACTGAAGTGATTACTGATTAAAAAACAAAATTTTTTTTTTAATTCGGTAAAAATTCCTCGACAGCTTTTTAAAATTTGTACAGTTCGACACCTTTTAAAAGTTCGTACATACAGTAACGTACTGACCAAGTATGTTTAGTAAAGCACTAGTGGTTGCAAGAAGCATTATATTATTGGCTGCGCGGCGCGGCCCAGTAGTGGCAGTGCATCGCGCTACAACAAACATCGTCAAATAGATTACTCGAAGCTCAAAGCTGTAAAGTATTTATCCAAAATAATTCCGATCCCGAGGATTGTTACTGGGCCGCGCTCAGCCTGTCATTCCGCCAAATCTTTATTCGCCAAATCTTAATGTTTATGAACATGTACATAAAACCTGGGTCCCCAGGTAAGAGGATTGACATAACTTATAAATTTATAATATATTAATTCTAAATACTGAATGCATCGCATTTTAAGGGTTTTGGTATTTTCGTAGCTAAATTGCACTAAAGCTTTCGCGCTTGCACTTCACACTTGCGCGTAGTTCGTAAACTGAAAACTCGTGGGTACGATATATCAATATGTGATTACTGAACAATAAATTCGGCTCGACTCTCATTACATTCTTTTAATAACTTGCTGTGCGAGATTTCAATACTATTAATTTGCAAATGCTAATTTAACATTTAGATCTTTACATCATCTTCTTTCACATAGCCATGTGTCTAAGCGTACTACTAGCGAGAGGGCTATGGTTAGAGCATAAACAGGTTATACTGGACGAATCTCACTCGTTAACGGGTGATACTCGTAATTTACTATCACGCGCCGCTTTTTCTCAAAATATTAGTCTAAGCCTATACCAGCCGGCAAAGTTTTTATATGTAACCTACATACAACGTTAAAATTTAGTTGAGTTTTGAACGTTGCTTATAGTTGATAAGGTAACCTTGATCTAACGTAAAATAATAAACGTTTTGCAACGTTAAAAATAAAACCTATAACCAACGTTAGATATTTAACGTTTAACAACGTTTTATATGTAACCTACATACAACTTTAAAATTTAGTTGAATTTTAAACTCTGCTTATAGTTAATATTAATAAGGTAACCTTGATCTGACGTCAAATAATAAACGTTTTGCAACGTTAAAAATAAAACTTATAACCAACGTTAGATATTTAACGTTTAACAACTATAGCCATAGCTATAGCTGTCGCCGCGATATCTAGCGCTAGATAGCGCTATCTAACGCTATCTAGCGTTAACTGTCACAAACCGATATTCTCCGCTAGACAGCGCTAGATAGCGCTATCTAGCGCTAACAAGCGTTATCTAGCGGAGAATGTCGGTTTGTGACAGTTTACGCTAGATAGCGCTATATAGCGCTAGCTGTCGCCGCGATATCTAGCGCTAGATAGCGCTATCTAGCGCTATCTAGCGTAAACTGTCACAAACCGTCATTCTCCGCTAGATAGCGCCAGATAGCGCTAGATAGCGCTAGATAGCGCTGCGTCAGATGTCGTTGCGACATATAGCGTTAGATAGCGCTAGATACCGCTAGATGTCGCAAAAAAAAAGGGCGGAAATTTTATGAAAATAGCGCTATCTGTCGCCTGGCGTCAGTGCTGCGTGCTTAGCGTCATCTAGCGTCATCTAGCGTCATCTAGCGTCATATAGCGTCATATAGCGTCATATAGCGCTAGATAGCGCTAGATAGCGCTAGATAGCGCTAGATAGCGACATTCGAAAGGTGCCGTGCACTTAGCGACAATGTCGCTAATTGGCGTCATCTAGCGTCATCTAGCGTCATCTAGCGTCATCTATCATCATCTGGCGATATTTCACGCTAGATGACGCTAGATGACGCTAGATGACGTCATATGTCGAATTTCAACTATCAGTAAAGGTCCAGTATCACTGATCACATATTGAAGTTATCGGAAAGACGGAAACACAGAGAGATGTGCTTTCAGGTGCAACTGTGCAATACACTGATCAAACTGAAACAACTTTATCTAGATTAATTAAAACTCTGATTTAATCAGATTAAACCAATTAATAAAAGCCTGAACCTACTAACATATCGCTGCAAAAGTTTGATGTTTTCCTGGTTGGTCATATTGTAGTTGAGGCTGGTAACCAGGATAAAACAGCCGTTTCTCTTTGCATCCTGTTTCAGTGGGGCGATTATCACTGCAGGGGAGTTACTTTGTGAGATTTAATGATTTTAGCACTATTTTATACTTTATTCATAAAGTAATAGATGTTGATATAAATAAATGCTGATGTAAATGTCGATATAAATATCAACATTTTATGTATAAAAGGTATACCAGAAAGTTAGAAAATTTAGAAAAATTTATTCTGTATTCACCTGTAACCCTAGAAATATCTTTGATGTTAGATCTAGATATGTCTAGTACTGAATACAAAGGATCGTTGGTTTGTAGACCAACTTTAACTAGGGGCAAACTTCCTTTCATCGCCTCGCTGAAAATAGGTGGTCCGTAAAAAGATACGGAATGAAAATATGAGATCCGTCAATGAAATGATACAGTGGATTAATTAAATAACCGATGCCCACTTTGTAACTCGAATTTCTAATTCAATCTTCCAGTCAATCTTCCAGTCATATACCGAGAATTAGAATAAAAATGAACAGAATTAAGTGATAAAAATGACACTATAATCCAGACAGAAAAATAAGACAGGCTACGACATTCGCCAACAATTTATTCACCATGATTGGCCAACCTGTTAACCATCACAATAACTTACAAAACTCCTGCATTTAATTTACAGAAAAACAAACATATTTTTGATGTTGTAAACTTACAAAACAACTCCAGATCTGGGTAGTATCTTCCCTAAACACCCGGCAGTTCCGTAGAGTTCCATCTCACCGGTATCGGGGGTCAAGAGAAAGGTGTGGCTTTCTATCTGAACGAGCATTTCGATCACTAAGTTCTCAATTAGTTAATACAATTTGTTATATAATCGGTCATTAATTATATGATTATCAATTGATTTGTTAACTGGTGCTGGGTGAAGTATTTCATCAATTTGTCAGATTTTCTAAAGTGAAAACTGAACGATAAAACTTCAAAAATTCTATCAATTGTGTTAATTTTTGGCTTGATGCCAACTAACGAATTAAGAAATCAGATAATCAATAATCCTATTATTTAATTACCAGGGTGGGTAACAGTCGCTGAGCAGTGCAGTGCACACCTCGCACCAGGGTGGAGTAATCCAGGGCCTCGTTAATTTCAAGCCAAACATCACTGAACGTTATCTGCCCACTCTGAAGTGATTCCATGGGTTAATTCAATAAAGTCAAATAATTTGGTATTTAATTAAGATTATCGTTTGGTATAATTACAAAGACAATTATTAAGCGGCCAATTCCACGGTGTGATAATTGGGAATTAACATAAGTGCAAACGTAATGATGTGCACCAATTCAGTTACTAATTTTATATTAATAACGTATTCCGTTGAGGAACAACTAAACATTCAGTTGACGAAAAAATTGGTTGAGGGGAGGACGATTTTTTACGACTTATTATAATCACCACTAATTATAATCACCACTACCCTTTATAGATGTGAATACTGGGGGAGAAGTGAACCATATTTTCTAACACGTGAAAGTGTGCACCAATAACATTCCAGCATTAACCAATAAAAACTCAGACTCACTATAATATCACGTGTAAAAAACAAATTTGATCACCTCCATACCACTACCCCTATAATAGCTCTCAGACTCCAACGTTAATACCAAAACAGCATTTAGATATTAAACTCTGTGAAACTTGGACAGGTCTGAGGTCGGAGACTCGACCAGACGAAAATATTTTGATATAATTAGGGAACAGAGTCAACCACTCGACTGATCGTTCAGTTTCGTTGCAATAACCAGTATGAAGTGGTGTAGTTAAGCGGCTAATCAAAGTTTTAATGTTCATCCCCAATCTCGCTACCATGTCAATTTCCTAAATTTTCTTCAACGAATCAAATTGTGAGGAAAACATTTTCGATGTTGACCAGGCCATGAAATTATGATACATTGATTTTCCGTGGACTGACGTCTGATAGTGATAGACACACATAAACTATTCTAGTTAACGGTATAGTTCATTAATCATTCTTTTAAGAACATAATTTGCAGTGTACTATCTGTGTACGTGTACTACCTAACGCTGCGATAGTGACAATTTCACGGTTACCATGGAAACAATGGTTACCTAGGTGACGCGAAATGAAATTAATTTGTCTTCAAAAATTAGCCGGGCTACCCTCGCTCCTCCACTTGCCTGACTCTCGATAATATCTTCTTTGACCAACTCTGAGTATTTCCTACTAAGATTCTTGTTCGTTATAGCTCCGTCTGATCTGCGCTGCGCGGCGACACGTGCACCAAAACAACATAACCACTTCCTCCGCATGCAACTTGAACTCGAAGATCAGTTACCAACACAAGGATAAGTTACCAACACAAAATCAACATTAAGATCAGTTTTTAAGATAATGTTTAGAAGCACCCGGAGGCCGAAACTCACCCACCCTATGATAGGGTGGTAAAACAACCTAAGAAATACTACTTTCGTTCTTATGTGGTCGGATCGAGGTGATTTGAAAAGTTAAACAAATTCTGTTGCACGAACAAGAGCTGAGGCATTGCTCTTCTAAGATGCGACACACCGTTTCTTATATGGCTAATAAAGTGAAATATCGACTGCACTTCAAAGTTTCATCAAACTTCAACTTACAAATCAAAAACAACGGAAATTCCAAATCTACAAAATTTGGATTCCACGCATACCGCAGGAAGGTCAGTCATGTGACCATAATGATACAACTGACAAAGATAAACTTTACAAGAGTTAAATATTATAGCGTTAAATATATAATATATATATATACTACAAAGTACAAAATTATATACTATTAGTACAACAATACTATATTAATACCAGCTATTGTTCTTCACACGCTACGATAATGGATCAAAGGATGGATGCGCATACGGAAAAGGTATAAAGATGTTGCAATAAGCTAATTGGTACAGATTGAGGATATAAGTTGACCATATCATGTTGTGATGCAGTATTGTTGAATGTTTTTAGATTATTTCGTATATTATAACAATAGCATTTTTTAGCGGGAGAGTATCAGGTATTTCTCATTAAAAACACAAAAGTAAAGATATTTGGAGCTCATTGAGTCGGGTACTGTACCGCGTAGGCACTGGTACGTGAGAGGCTTGTGTTGCGTACCAATAAATTATACCGTAGTTAAGATCGTACTAGCATTACAATACAACTATCACGGTTACTGACTCCGCACCACGTGACATGACGTCACACCACGTGATGTGACTACGGGATATTTAGTCAATGAAATAGTCGACACGTACAACAGGGCTAGTGGGCTACACAGCCCTTTAAGCACTAAACCCTAGCAGCAATCACAGTTATATGATAATTAAATACATTGTGATATTTAATTGTGATATTTAATTGTGATGTGATATCTAATTGTATTTCATTGTTTTCAGAGGGGAAATTAAAGAAATCGTATAGTGCAGGTGGTGGTGGGGGTCCGGACTCATGAGTATGTGGTCAGGACTCAGGATTGGTCACGCAAACAGGGGGGGGGGCGAGAGAAGTACTGGACAATATAGTATCTGTAGTAGTTGCAAGGTAAGTAGCTGATGATATCAGGCACTTTAAATTCATCTATTATTGAGGAAATGGTTAAACGTTTGCAGAGAAATTGTAGAACTGTAGAAGATGTACGAGCATTAAACGTTTTTATGGTTAAAAGATTCTGGTATGCAATGTCACGTACCAAGTAGCGTAACTAAAGATTAGATTTCATGGTTACAAAATGAATAATACCAAATCATATCACTTTAAATCTAAGTTCTTAGATCCTAACGAGCAGATCGCGATTCTTTAAATTTCCCGATCCTAAGAACTTAGCTATAAATACAACTCATTGCTGTACGACCAGACGGCAGCTAACTATGAAGCTGCATATTATGAGGTCCAGTACCAACAGAGGTACAGTCGAATTACAGATCAGATTATCATAACTGGTACTCGGGTAGATTTCTTAGTTTATATATACCGAGGCTATATACCTGTATGAACCTCAATGTCTTTAGCAAAAGGTGTAGTCACACGTAGCCCGCCGATAGAAATGGCTAAATTAATGCACCAATATTACAAATTCATCGTGGACAAAAATATGGAGATTATTCAAGAAATATGGAGATTATTATAGAATACAATATTTTTAGTAAATAAGCATTATGCACTAATAGTATGCAGCCGGTCAGGAACTGGAAGCGAACGAATAATTATGAAATAGATTATTATTTTTACCCTATATTATATATGAAAACCACGCAGAACAAGCAGAGGTTAAATACTTAAATAGTTTATTTATACCATAGACAACAATTATTACATTATTTTATTTGAATAATTTAATAGGCTGGCTTTCGAACGAAGCACACCCGAGAAATATAACTATACTTGAACAGGAAAATTAAATAAAGTATATTACTCTAGCAATTTATGCACCAATTAATAACTGCTGCGTGTATGCAGGGGTTAACGGTTTATAGCAATAACCACAAAATTAACCATCTGCCAGGATGTAGTGAACACACTAGAAGGCAGGTACAACCGTTTTAGCACGAACTTTACATTAACTACTATCATTTAAGAACTGCTATACATTTTTAACCACTTTTGATCTTTAAATCGCAGCATTTCATAATCAAGAAATTTGGTTTAAACGACCATATTTAAGAGCTGCATCTTTATGTAGCGACGAAATTAATTGGAATTAAATGCCCTCATACCAGAGCCGATATAAGAGCCTTGGTTGATTTTGTGGCCTACCTCAAATGAGGTAATCTATACGACTAATCACTAAACCTCATTGCGTTCATACAGAGCTTGCTCGCTGAAAAAAACTGTGTTCTGTATTAAATTAAAAGGGGTATCCTACGACTAGCCTAACTTCCCACAGTAAAAAATAGAAATTATTTGAGGATCGTTCAGGCACAAAATTTTAGAGTTTTTGCAGCAAAGAAACCTTACAACTACAAGTATCAGAAATTGACGACATGTCAAGTTGAACAAATATGAAAGTTATATCACCAAGGATTCCTCACTAACACTCATGAGCTGCAAATAGAACTAAACAAAGCTGGAAACGCTAATGACATACAGTACTATGGTACAGTAACTGAACGAGGGAGACGCTGCACAGTTCTACAGAAGGAATGCGATCCATGATTACGAACATTCATTAGTACTCTTCAGAACATGCTTGTTTCACTGCATTGTATTACTGGTTGTCTACACTCTAGAACACTGAAATTAATTACTTAATTAACAATTTTAATGATGCGAGTAGAAGATAGATGGGAGAATGGAGCTAACCAGTAACTGTGAACAAGCCAGTACACAATTAAAACAACCTCATTTAAATTTAGAACAAGCTCCTTTAGATAGTTAGATAGCATCTTTAGAACTAGCTTCTCTTACGTTCTAATTGCTAAAAGTAATGGATAGTTATGATGGTGGAGAGGAGAGAAGAATACAAAGAGGAGACACTGAACAAGCTCACAGTTCACAACTCAAAGGTAATCCACACCACGTGTAGTGACGTCATAACACGTGATGTGACGTCATAACACGTGGTGTGACGTCATAACACATGATGTGAGAGGAGAGTATAAAGAGGAGAGACTGCAGTGAAGAAGAGTACAAACCACCCTCCTGGCCTCCTCTCTCTCTCTGGAGTTTTCTTAGAAAATCATTATTAATAGTTGCAGCTTACTATTACAGTAGATGGTGTGTAACTATAAGTGTAACTATTAATTATTATTCGTGTACTGTACGTGTACTGTACGTGTACTGTACGTGTACTGTACGTGTACTGTACGTGTACTGTACGTGTACTGTACGTGTACTGTACGTGTACTGTACGTGTACTGTACGTGTACTGTACGTGTACTGTACGTGTACTGTACGTGTACTGTACGTGTACTGTACGTGTACTGTACGTGTACTGTACGTGTACTGTACGTGTACTGTACGTGTACTGTACGTGTACTGTACGTGTACTGTACGTGTACTGTACGTTAGGTTGGTTCAAAAAAACCAAAATTTCTCAAATTTTGCTGAGTATAAGCTCAAACTTTGATCCCATGGCTAAAACACCCCCAAAAAATTTTTTTTGGTCCAACTCGTCTGGGATGGGACTGCACATGCCACG